GTGACTGACTATACAGTTTGCATTTCTTTATTGAATTGATTTCAGTTATATGCTTAATGTAGACTAGGAATTTGTTTGGCAAATACCAAAAGCTAGTTTATAGCTTATTAGAAGCTAGCTTTTGGCTTTTAGAGTAGTTTGGTAACTGGTAAGCAAGCTTTTCAAAAAATTTATTCTAGCTTTTGACAAGTTTTTGAAAGTAGCATTTTAGAATCTTGAATCTAGCTTCCAACAATTTATTCTAGCATTCTTTGCCATGGAAGAAGTGAAGCTTACCCTTACTGTTTTTTTCTACACTCTACCCTCTTTACACTCATTTTTTGTTCCTCTCTTTTAATTGTAAGAATGTTATTATAAATTCACAAATAACAATAGATCAAATTTACAAATAGGGCCCAAGTGTCTTGGAGCTTCTCTTGTAGATTTCATAGTTGCTCTTTTTCTTTGATAAAAAGTAAATATAGTTTCTTTTTCTGAATTCTAATAATGCTAGATGGGTGTTAGGGGACAATTTATCTTCAATTATGTTGGATAAATATACTGCTTTGTTCGGGTTGCCTTTTAACAATTACTCTTTATTGACTTGGCAATTGCAGGCATGTCTACTCCTGGTGATTTTTGGCATCGTTCTCCTTATTGTGATAATTTTACTTGCAGCGTGAAGAGAAGATACTTAAATTCAAAAAGTCTGCTTGATAATGAAAGCTGACCCTTTGTGAATGTTGTGACAGAAGTTGGTTTGCAACCCATTATGGCAGAACGGAGTTCTGGCAATCACGGAATATTAGTTATGATACATGATAATTGTGACTGATAAAAATATCTTTATTTATGCGGGTTGGGGGGTTTGTGTTTGATTGTAAATGTTATTTTGTGGGGGCCAAAGGTGTGTTCCTTGCTTGGCAGGTTCTTCCCTGTCAATAAAACTAGATTTCTTTATTGACACTCAAAACATGTGAGAATTGAAGTTTACCTCTTGTTTTCTTCAAGTGGAAGTGAAGTTGGCTTGTGTAATGTGGGACTAGATGTTGTTTGCAAGAAAGATTGAGTAGTGCTTATTCTTTTGATATCTACTTCTATACTCTTAGCTTGGTGTTAAGACATTTTTTTGTCCAACTTTATTGCTTCTTGAAATAGTGAATATATCTTACCATGACCCAAAGCATTAGGACAAAAGTAGAGAAGTACCTTCCCAGTATTAATTTTAAATTTTTACATTTTGTTACTCAATTATTTGGCTTCAAAATTAAGTTATAAACTGCTTTCGGTCTGTTTCCATATTAACTAATTTAGTGCTTAAAATGTATATATTGTAAATTACATCTAAAATTTCGGTACGTCTTGTGAGATGAATATAAAAACCCGAGGCTAGGGTATAAATAACATGTGTCTTGACTTTATGCACCTTAAGCAAAATATGCTCCTTAAGTTAAAAAATAATGCAATTTAAACTTTAAACATATGCGTTTCAAAATTGATGTACCTTAAATTAAAAAGTGAAGCACCTTAAGCTTTAAACTTAGACACTTAAAGCTATAAATTTAGTGATGCACCTTAAACTAGAAAATAATGCACCTTAAGCTTTAAATATACACATCTTAGACTATAAACTTATGCACCTTAAGCTATCGACTTACACACTTTAAGTTTTAGACTTAAGCACTTTAAACTTTAAACTTAAGCATCTAACCATAAACTAACGCACCTTAAGCTATAAACTTACGCACTTTAATCTTTGAACTTACGCACCTTAAGTTGTGATCTTACGCAAAATTACCATAATGCTATCGCATCTTTTTTAAAATTTTTTTCATTCTGGATGGTTGATTTTGGCAAGATCAAAGGTTGTGATTTATCCGCACGTTTCACCTGGAAAGGCTTCGCACTTGATCCCTTATATATATATATATATATATATATATATATATATATATATATATATATATATATATATATATATATATATATATATATAATTAGGTTCAAATGAGAACCTCTGTTAACATGTGAACATGTTTACCACTCTGCACCATTGATCTTGCTTGATCTTGTGGTTTATAATGGTTTTGACCTGGTAAATATACATCATTACACACAGGATGCACCACTGCACCATTACTTAGATCTCGACTGTCCAATCACACATCTCAGCGGTGCATAGGAGTCCATAGATTCACTCCCAAGCAATGCTTTCTCGTGCAGTCGTATGGACATATTAGAATTGTAGGATGAGCAGTCGGATGGAAATCAATGAAGAGGAGAAGAAATGCGGGATAACTTTATAATTTTGTTGACCATGTATGTTTCGGTGGTGCATTAAGTGCTAGTGCATGGTAAATTTATGAGTGCTTTATGGTGCACCACCAAGTGGCAGAAAACCAATCAAATATGAAAAAATGCATTGACATTTAAGTAATTTTGTGCACTATGTATATATTTAGAAATAGGTTCAAATGCAGCGCTACTTTCCCGTGCAGTCGTGCGGACATTTCAGAACTGTCGGATAAGTATACAAATCGAAATCAATGAAGAGGATAAAAAATGCAGGGGCAATTTTGTAATTTTATTAGCCATGTATGTTTCGATTGTGCATTGAGTGCTAGTGTATGATGGTGCATTATATGATGCTCTGTGGTGCACCACCAAGTGGTTGAAAATCAACCAAAGGGAAAAAAACGCGGGGACATTTAAGTAATTTTGTGCACCATGTATATATATAAATATAGGTGCAAATGCAGCGCTTCTCTCCTGTGCGGTCGTACAAACATAATAAAATCGTAAGATGAGCAGATGAATGGAAATCAATGAAGAGGAGAAAAAATGCAGGGGCTATTTTTTAATTTTGTAGACCATGTACTTGTGAGTGCTCTGTGGTGTATTACGTGATGCTCTATTATGCACCATGTATAGTTCGGTGGTGCAATAGGTGCTGATGTGTTTATTATGAGTGCTATACTGCTATGTGGTGCACTACCAAAAAGGGAAAAAATGATGTGGGTTCAATAGACTCGTTGAGTAGTACCGTTGGACCAACGGGTCTATTGAACCTGTCAATGGGTTGAGCACCCCTGTTGAGTGGTGCAATATAGATCAAGTGCACCACGTATCATTCAAAAATGCGCCACACAATACTTATAAGTGTATGATACACTAACACGTAGTGCACCGTCGAAATATACATGATGCTGGAAATTACGAAATTGCCAACGCGTATTTTTTCTTCTCCATTGATTTTCATCCATTTGATCTCAGCTCATCCTGCGGTTCTGATATGTTCGCACGACTGCATGGGAGAACACCACCGCACCACAACATGGACATATATATATATATATATATATATATAGGGAAGGGTTCATGTGCGGGTATAGCTTCTCGTGCGGTTGTGCGGTTAGATTTGAGTCGTTGATCAAATCTAGATCAATGGCTCAAATCAATGAAAATTTTTAAAAAAAAAAAAAAACGCGTGTCTGGAAGAAAGCCACGCACCTTTAAGTGTTAGATCTTAAGCACAAACACACACACATTAAGTACAAAATCCACGCACATTAAGCACAATCTCACGCACATTAAGCACAAAATCACGCATTTAAGTATTAACTCACAGACCTTAAGTTTCAACAACTACTGACATTAAGCACAAACTCACGCACATTAAGTACAAAACTCACGCACATTAAGCACAATCTCACGCACATTAAGCACAAAACCCATGCACTTTAAGTATTAACTCACAGACTTTAAGTTTCAACAGTTACTGACATTAATCACTAACCTCACACATATTAAGCACAAACCCTACACAAATTAAGCACAAACTCCACTCATATTAAGAACAAATCTCACGCACCTTAAACACAAAAGTCCACACTTTAAGTTTTACTAACTACTCACATTAAGCACAACCCCACGCACATTAAACACAAAACTCGCACCTTATGCACAAGACTCACGCATATTATATACAAAACTCACGCACATTAATCACAGAACCGCTCACATTAATGTTGACCTAAATACAAAAATTACAAAATTGCCACCGCGTTTTTTTTTTTTTAAATTTTGGTAATCCTGGACGTTGATTTAAGCGAGATGAATGGGCCAGATTAAACCGCACCTAAGCAACCTAACCGCACCACCAGAACCTAATTATATATATATATATATATATATATATATATATATATATATATATATAGACACACACATGTAGTGTTTTTTTTTTCTTTTTTAGTTAGCCGCCTATGCTGTCTAGTGACTAGCGCCTACTGCAACCATAATTTACACTACAAAATAGCTACTTAAAATTACATTTTATGTTATTTTTTCCAACACATACATAATAATGTGTATAAAATTCTATGGCAAGGTATAAAACTACCCAACTAAAAGCCACCAAAATATACATATAAAATCATCGAATTAATTTCACTTTTGGTCCCACGACTTTTGATATTCTATCACTTTTGGTGCACAATTTGAAATATTTTTAATTTTGGTGCTTAACTTTGTTATTTTTATCAGTTTTGGTCCTTTAGGCCAAATTGACAGCGAAATGTTTCTGGATTTTATATTTTTAGGGGTAAAATCGTCATCCCAAGGAAACATCTTCAATATCTAAACAAAATCACTGTAAAATCATATCTATAGGTGTTTGTCGATGAGAATAATAGAGAAGACGGGCAGAAACCAGACAGATCTATGAGATTTATAGTTTCAATCATTGGCAAATTCTTCTTTTCCTCTTAATATGATTTTTCTTTTGTTTAAATATTAAAGATCTTTCTATGGGATGACGATTTTGCCCTAAAATATAAAATTCGGAAATATTTTATCGTCAATTTGACTGGAATGACCAAAATTAATAAAAATAACAAAGTTAGGCACCAAAATTAAAAATTTTAAAATCGTGGACCAAAAATGATAAGAACACAAAAATCGTGGGACCAAAAGTGAAATGAATTCTAAATTATAATACTACCTACAAAAGTAAGCTATTTGTGCCGTTCTTCTTGCCGGGTGGGTTCACATCTTGGCGGGAAAAAGAAAAGTAGAAGACGGAAGGGGAGAATGAGCTCGTCGGCGGCGGTGGAGACGGACAACTTTCCCTATCTTGTCTGTCGGCTGGACAACGTCCAAGGCATTGTCGACGCCCTCACCTCCGTCCGTTGGAAGCGCTACCAGGTCCGTGGTTTGATCTCAACGACTCATAAATTCGCTACTCGAATGCCTCAAATTCAATCAATTTCGCTGATCTTCTTCGCGATTAGGACGCCGACGTCGAGTTGTCGGAGCACGGCATAGTGTTGATCGTCGAGGAAACCCGGTGCCTTCAGGGGAAAGTTTATTTGCAACGCGAGGTGTGTTGTATTCAGAGTATATCAAAATTAAAATCAAAATAAACGCATACTACTCATCAATTGTTTAGATTTTTTTTCTCCCTTTAACATTTAATTTAAACATTTGATATCTGTTTGTGCAGTTGTTTACTCAGTATGAATTCCGTGCTGAAGGGAGGCCGAGATTCGGAGTGGGCTTAGGGCTTTTTGTTGATTGTCTCAATACATTTTCAGTTCCAGGAAAATCTACCATTGAACTTCGGTATCCCGGGCCTGACAGGGAGCTTCTTCTCAAGTAAGCTTTTATCTCCTATTCTCCAAGTTTCTTAAAAACGCTATGTCCGCTAAATATTTTTTTATTATTTTTTATTTTTTATTATTGCTAATTGAATATCACTTGGAATTTTATAAATCTATTAGCTGCAACTTTATCTTATTCCTCCTCAGTTAACTAGGCTTTATAATAGTTTTGATTTTGAGATGAAAATACGACACCTGATAGGCTGGGAGATATACAGAGGCAACTATTAAGTGTAGCATTGGAAATAGAAGAATTTGAGGGCCAAAAGAAAGCTGGAAAAAAACCTTGAAAATGCCTTATTTATAGATTTGCAAAATCTGGATATGGATGCCCTAAGTAATTATTAACTCGGGTAAATGGAATAAATCTAGAATTATTATTTGTGCTGAATAAAGTTCTGACACCTATGGACATGGTACTTTTGTAAACTGAGATCTTGGTAGCTTCTGAGAAGTAGGATTATTATCTGAAGGAACTTAAATTAACATGTTGCAAATACCTAAGTAGTGTCAAAATTGGGTGTATTTCATGCTTGTGATTTGTAATACTTGTAAATGAATATAGTTTTTCATCTTTTAACGTGCTATATGGGTTTATCTTCTATTCTTTGACCTGCATTTATATTTAAATAACAAATGTGTGCAAGACTCCTACCATATCCGACAGTGTTGATGAAAGAGTACTCCATGCGGTCATGTGTGGCTCTATAGTAGTCCAAGTAATACTTGCAGGCACATTTTGTATGATGCAGTTATACTTCCTTTTTGGTTAGAGAGGAGATTCATCAAGTCCCTTGAAGAACGTTAATTTCTTTGATAACTTCTAAACTTTTGGGTACCTTCATCCATCTTTAAAATACTTGTAACACATTTTCTTTTATCTGTTTCATTTTTGGGGTGGGATATGGTTAGATCTGTTGATTCACCTGAAGCCTGCATTTATGCTGAGATCAGGACAAGGATTCCTGAGACGATGCCATGGGACTACAACTTTGAACCTGCAGGAAGTACTCCTCTCAGTTTTACTGTCAAGGTAAATTTTCCTTTCTCAATTATGCACAGCCTGGTTCCTGTCTATGTGAGAATAAGGAAGGAAATGCTTTGGCCATCTAATTGTCTCTTACTGAAAGAATTTATGGCCATTAGCGTCGTTGAGTTGTCAATTTATTGATGAAAATAACATGTTTCAACGTAAGAAAGGCACTCAGCTAAACAATTGGTGTAACAAAATACACCAGCAAATTCCAAGGGAAAATAGAGTGAATCAATCTGAAATATAGTTTACTCACTTTACTGTTGTACTAGAACCCGACAACTCGTCTAATTGATTTTTTAGCCTCTAGTTTCTTGATCTCAGCTTTGAAATCTTTCTTTACAAGATGTTGTGCTTAGTGTTAGTGTTATTTTAGACTGTTGAGTGATACTATGCTCACTGTTTCGAGATTGTAGTTGCATTTTAAAAAATGGAGAACTTATTGCAATTGCTTGAGAAATTAAGTCAATTGTATATGCCAACTACTACCATTCCAAATGGTTGGTCACAGGATCGAACCCTAGTAGTGGGGGCATTGATTCTTTGGGTTGAAAGAGTTTGAGAAAGTATAGAACAAATACTACCTTGTAAAGAATCATGAATATATATTGTTTATTCATGAAGATTATTTACACACCAATGCTTTCAATTGACAGTCTGCAGCACTAAAAGAAGCTATAGATGATCTTGAATGGCCTGGCTCAAGCATTCAGCTAACCCTACAACCAGCCCCTCCCTCTGTTACCTTCAGGTCTGAAGGCCATGGCGACTTACAGGTAACTTATCGCAGGGTCTCTCAGAAACAGAAAATTCCTTTGCTTTCATCAATTTATAGTGTACTCAACTATATCTGCTTTGCAGATAGACTTCATGCACCACACGAACAACGATACTCTTTTTGCATTTCATTGTGATCACCGTATCTCGCACAGGTTCCTATGCATACCTTTGGCAAATTATTTCGAAAGTAAAATGCTGCCAGATTAGGTTATTAATCTTGACCTGATGTTTAACAGGTACAAGTACAAATTTCTCCAGGCAACAACTTCAAACATACCTAGCAGTGTCATGAAAGATAACCGGGGAAGCAAGTTCACTATTGGCAGTGGTGGAATGCTAAAAGTGCAGCATCTTGTTTCAGTTGCAAGACCAGCAAGCTCACATTCCCACACTGATTCTGCTGCCCATCATCAACCCAGCCGTATTGCTTATATCGAGTTCTTTGTGAAGCCGGAGGTAGATGAACACGATGATGCATAGGAGGATGATTTGTAGTCGGAAGCCAGAGTGCATGGGTTTACATCTTCTCTACCTAACTCCCATACTTTGTTATTTTCTCTCTTCTTTTTCTATTTAAGTTCAGCAAATAGAAGAACTTTCTTTGATAACAAAACTCTCTCTATATATAGATATGTTGGTCTTGATTGGGTGGAGAAAAGTCTAGAGGGTGTGGGGTTGAATAAACTTTTCTAGCAAATTGAAAATGATCACTTTATAAAAAAAAATAAAAATTACTCTTTAAGTAATTTAGACTAGAATAAATCTAACTTAGAGGGTACAACAGAATAAAAGTATGTAAAGTGATATATTAAAAAATGAGGTGTCAGCTAAGTAATCAGTTCATGCAATATGATAGAAATGTATCTAAGTAACTAAGTTATTTGTGAGAGCAGAGATTATGCATGCATAGCAAAGTGTACACGTGAGGGCAGTAAGTAAATGAGAGAGAACTTTTAAGTAGTTATGTCAAACTCAACCTACATCCACTTTACTCCTATCTTCGGGAGGAATTTACTATATCAATCAACCAGATACAATAGTGAACTACCAAGTGCTAGTTCACCAACTTAGCACTTCTACAACACGAGTGCTTCTACACAAAGCTACACTTCTTAGGGTTTTCACAAGCTCCTCTTGTTACTCTTCCTTCTATCTACACCCAGTAGAGAATTTTGATACAAGAAAATAAGTTTTCTTTTCTTTCAAACTCTTAGAGACTTTTAAAGATTAATTCTTTTTTCTAGATATTTCTATGAAGAAATTTGAACTTGAAGTATGCTTCGTGCTATCAGATATGCTCAAAGTGTATCATTGAACTCTAGCTGCTCTAATTCTTATTTGATCTTCAGGTGTTCATGCCTTTTATAGATAATCAAATGTATCTGTTGGATGAGATTTGAAATCTTGAAAGTTGTAGCCTGATTTGAAAGTTGACAAATTGATCTTGTCTTTCGACTTGATTTGCAACTTGATTATGATAGATTGAGCTTTTCTTGCAACTTGATCTGTGCATTCAGACTTTGTAAATCCTTTCCACATTTGGCATGTAAACTTCTTGAAATTTTTGAGTTGTAGTAGATGGCTTTTCACGTGTGTGGTCTTCTTTGCATTTCTTTAGGTTGCATTTTGATCTTGTGATTTCTTGATTTTGCTTGACTTTAGTTGATCCTTATAGTTTCAATTGTTGATTTTCAATAGCTGTTGTTGAGCTCTTGTGTAGATTGATCCCAATTATACTCTAATTAAGTTGACTTTAATCTTCACTTTGATCTCTTCTCTCGTGTTATCTTGTTAGTCCTTAACCATTCGACCTCAATTATCTTGTACAAGAGAGTGGATGACTTGCTTCAACTTTTGCTATCAAACTTGCTACCATTCCATTGCTTGCCAAATCTTGCTATAACATGTGCTATATGCCATGCCATAAAATTTTGCTACCATGTTTGCTACTAGCCGTGTTTGACATCCAAGGTGTGTCACAATCTTTGCTACTTTTAGCATCCATGCTACTTCTAGCATCCATACTACTTTCACTTTTAATAGCTACTCCTTTAAATTTGTTTTGAGTGAGATTCAAACCTTGTTCCTTTGTGATTAACAACATCTTCAACCAATTCTTCTACTTTCTTTTGCCTCCATTTTTTTTTGTTCTTTCCTTTGTTGGAATAAAAACCAACCTCTTCCTCCTTTGATACAAAAATGACTGATTTTCGAAGCTTGAGAGCAAACACAGTTCTATACAAAAATAAAATAGAGTGAGGGTTCTAATTTTTGTAAAATACATATTTTGGCTCATCAAAATCTATACAATTTTTCGTAACAAGATACACACGTTGAAATAGAAAAAAAAAAAATCAAGAAAAGCACAATACCTCCGTACGTACCTGGATGTCAATTTTGATAAACATCATTGCTATCTTCATAATGGGGGAGAGACAAGTTTGTTTATATTTCCAAGTTCGACTATATATTACAATGATTGATGACCTTTGTCCTTAATTATTAATTGATGGCTAATTTCATTAGAGTGGCTCAACTAGGCTACTATGCTTTTTGTAATTTTGACTCTATTCCAGGCTTTATAGTAGTCCAATTTAGAATTTAGTAGTAATTTAGTTTTGAATTAATAAAAAAAAAATCGAAAAAATTAGTGTTTTTTTTTTAACCTGAGAATTTGCATCTCTTTGTATCCATTATACTTTTGATACATGATGCCTGAGGCCACCCTGTTTGCAACAAACATATAACACCAAATGTTTAAATGCCTAAGCAATAAGCATATTTACTTCCCATGAATGAATCATAAACTTGCATTTGGAGCGCAGGTTCAGCTTCTTATAAATCATAAACACATTTCCCAGTTTGAGAGCTTATCTGAGAGATCGTTAACTACTAACTTCTAAAACCCAATGCACAATTGCATCTGTTCCATGGGGTAATCTGTACAGATATGAAACCATCCCAGTATGTATCGTTCACTGGCTCGCTCGATGAAACTACGCAAATGTCCATAGGACAGCAGAGCTCGTCGACTTTTCAGCTAACACAATACACTATGATTTGCTATTGCTGGCTATCAACGTGGGGGTAATGCTGACCGCTCCTATGACAAACAGCGTGGCTATAGAGTTGAAGTCGTATAGGTCGCCCAATGACTGCAACTCACTCAGCGCGATTCCAGCCTGCAATGCAATCGCATATCATGTTATGAACCTTTTACAACAATTGGCTTTTAAGTTGGCTTTAGAAAATCTTGCCCCAAAAAGGTTGAATCCAACCTCAAGGGCTCCCCACACCTCAGCTCGACAGAGCATTTGGAAGGATGTAAACCACAATAACTCAGTAGCTCAGCAAACAAAGGGCCAAATGCCTGTGTGCACAAGAGATCTGCCCACTTTAGGCATAACCCCCATGCTGCCGCTGCCGAGTTTCAAACATTGGTCTCTTGCTCTGAATCAGTGTTGCAAAAATCGCGCCTAGGCGCTATGCGGTCGGCCACTTAGGCGCTCTAGGCGCCGATTAATCGCTCTAGGCGCCCTAGGCAGTCCCCAGGCGCCTAGCGATTTTTTCAACCTTGCTCCGAATACTGCCTACTGAACTAGTGAGATAAGCCCATGCGGGCTAGTTTTAGGTTATCTTTTTGCACTAATGTTCTATATTATACATCATAAAAGTAGACAGCTAACAGAGATCTTTTCCAAGTGGCATGCTTTATTCCTCAAATAAAAGCCATATTGACCTTGGTTTAGATTTTTAAAGAATCTAGGCATGCTCATACCTCAAAGTTATAGATTATGCCAAAGAACTAGGTAAGAATGGGAAACAAATTACCCGGACAGTAACATAAGTGGCAGGAATAAGCCCAATAAGTGTTGCCAGCAAGAAAATATGGTAAGGCACATCTACGATCGGTGAAGCAACATTAATAAACGTGTTTGGGAGTGTTGGCGTAACTCTTAGGAATAGCATGTAGTTCAGCAGCCGTTTCCTTCGTTTAGCCACCTGATTGTTTCATCGATGTCAGCACCCCACAGTTTTATCAGTGCAAACGAGAGATAAAAACACAAGAATGAGTTCAAAGTCACCTGGTTCTGGAAGAACGTCAACTTATCTGGCCAGAGGGAGAAAACAAGGGGCCGCCCAATATGTTTGGATAAGAAATAGCAAGATGAAGCACCGGCAGTAGCAGCAAACACGACCAGAGCTACACCCTTCAGGACCCCAAAGAGAGCACCCGCAAGTAAAGACATGAAAATAGTCCCGGGGATCATAAACGTCTGCATAAAAATGTAGACTACACAGTAGCCAACAAGGACCTGCAAAGTGTAGTCGCTCGTATAACTCCCCAGTTGATCCCTATAGAAATTAACAGCAAAAAATGTCATTATATTCCTAAAACTCTAAAACAGATGTTATCACTAGCTTTAGAAATTTTCCATTCCCCATAGAGCTTCACTTTGATACAATTCCCTGCATTTTGCTCCCAATTTGGTTCAGACATTTCAGTTTCACATGTAGATGTAGTCATTATTACACTGATGCAGAAAAGGGCACCATTCTTTCAGGTAGATATATTAGTACAGAAAATATATTGCAGTGCTTATTTTCTATTCCAATTTATTCCAATAATATTATGCTAGTGATTATTTTTCTTTTCATTTGCAAATTTGAGTATTGTTACTCAACTAATGCTAGTTGTGTTGAAGGGGAACAAATTGCTCTTCTCCAATTCAAGAAAAGCCTAATTAGATAGATCAAACCATCTCAAAAGTAAATATGATTTTTTTTTTTAGTTCCTTAGAGTTTTGTATATGGAAGCTATATATAGAGAGAGATGTAGGAGTAGAGATTCGTCATTTATAGTTTCTTTGGATTTGATGAGAATAGCAATTTCAATTTTTACTATCCCCACCAAGTGCTCCTATAACCTATGCTTTCCACTGTTTCAAGAAAAGCTTGATCTGCCGCAAGGGCTTAACTAACTAGTTTAGTAGGCAGTATTTGGGGAAAAGACCAAAGTTCGAAACTTTGTGGGGATTATGCACCGGCATTTGGCCCTGTATGCTGAATCACTGTGTTACTGTGATTTACATCCTCTCAAATGTTCTCAAATGTTCTGTCTGGGATGTGGGGCCCTAGGGTTGGGGGAAGAAAATCTTGATCTGCCTAGGAGACCTCTCCATTATTACTGTATCATAATCATTATATATATATATATATATATATATATATATATATATATATATATATATATATATATATATATATATATATCAATCCTTAGTAGATAAACACCATTTAATGATGAACATTTGGTCTAGGAAAAGGTTCTGCGTTTTCTTCACCCCAATTTTAATGATGCATTTGAAATGGGTCTACCAAATCCCAACAAAGGGTCTACCAAATCCCAACAAAATATATCAATATAATAAGAATTTTAAAATTTTGATTACTACAATGAATGGCAGGCACTACATACAACTGAATCGCAAGACAAATCTTAAATCATAAATAATGCAATGGTCAAAATCTAAAACAAAAAGCATAGATCTTTATATCAACAACAAACAAATATTTATTCTTTCATTACTGAGATAGATAC